ATAAAGATAATATATAGGATGTATATATATATATATATATATATATAGGATGTATATATGGGATGTGTATATGTATATGGGATATGTGATGTTAAATAACAGTTAAAGGCGAATGAATATTTCATATATATTAGCCGTCAGTTGTTTTATGTTGTCCGCTATCATCAAGTGTTACATCTTATTGCTGACATCTGTCCATCTATTTGTGTAAGATGTGCAGTTATTCTTTGTACCAATATCATTAGTCATTCCACAGACCTTATGGATCGTTGGTTATCTTTTATTTGTAAAACATATCTAGGCCTATGTATTGTAGTGTAACATAAGGCCGAAGGTTCCTAAGTCATTGCGTTAGTATCAACGTAACTTTCATTTAGTCAATTTAGTCAATTAGTCAACTCATACATGATTTATATCTTTAGCATCTTTCAAAGTAATTTTATCTCTTTTTAGAATTAATTTTTTATCTCTTTTTACACACAAACCAGGAGCACTGACTGTATTTACGCCACTAGGTGCGTGGTCACATTGTATGTACGGTACGTGATCACAGTCATCAGTTATTGCACAGTTGATAAGATAAATAATTTTTGTAATAGGATTGCCTAGTGCGAGATCACACTTATGCTTACTGTACAGGATCAGACTCTTCCAAGGTTCCCTCTACAGGGGCTCCACAAAATATATTCAATTAAAAAATCAGATCCACTGACAAAGCGCATTGACAAGTAGGTGGTCAATGCTTGGGTTGGGCACATTTTACGGAGTGATGAAATCACTCCTGCACTTGTGTTTGAAGTTAATACATCATTGTACTTGAAGGGCATAAAAGGAAGACATATTATTACATTTTACTCAAAAATAAAATCTAATATAAAAGAAAAAGGGCTTAATTTAGAAGATATCGTTGATTTTTATAAACTTAAAGAAATTGCTAGAAACAAAATCCATCTAGAATGGAATGTATGAAAAATGATTTAGAAAGCTAGATGGTTTTTTTTTATTCATCGAAAATGTGGCTGTGACTTATCAGACACAAGATTGATTTGTGTCTGTAATAAAGTTTATAAAAATAACTACTGTACTTACAGTAAAAAAAAATATTAAACAAAACACGTAATTCTAATGAAGATAATTAGTAACGCTGCTGATGAGACAAACATACCTCCGTAAATATGAATAAAACAAAAACAATTGCATAAGCAACATGCTTCACTTGTCAGTAAAGTAGAGAAAACAAATTAATTAACTGTCATCACAGTATAGATCACCACAATTATGATATATATTTAGTAACACTATCATCAAAGTATTACTGTCAGATTGTTAAGAAGTATAATGCATGCGTCTAGCGCTACTATGAAGGCATGCTCAAGTGATCTAATTAAAAAAATGTTTTTTTTTTGTGTTTTTTTTTTTTTTGTTTGTTTGGTTTTTTTTTCGTTTTTGTTTTTAAACATTGGCATTGATCTCATACGTAATGCCATTGATGTTATTGTGATAAAGTAGGTCCATAAAATAGGATCAAATATCACTATCCAAAAACATATTGATTGAAGGACTGTATAATAATTATGTTATGCATAAATTCTTTTCTATTAACAGTGGGAGCAATCGCTCGCAATTCGTCACACAATCATCCATTGGGAGGGCGATGTTACTAACAACGCACATTGCACTTAAAAATAACATTGTTTATGTAGGGCTGTTTGTTTAAAGTACTCTAAAATATAAACAATATGTATAAAGTTAAATGACCGTATATTATTTTTAAATTAGCTGTAATCGTAATGTTTAACAGGTCACAAAAATAGACGTGTTAGTGATATCTTCCAAATACATTATTTTAAGCCACTCAGTAGTCGGAGCGTTGATAGTTATGGCGTAATAGCCGGCCGCATGTTTATAGTATGCGTTGAATTGGTATAAGCCTATATTATTATTAATACATTGCTAGTCGATTTGTATATTTACCCTCTTTTATGCAGACGGAATTCGTGAGTTAATTTAATGGGCTCTCATTTCATTTGATTTCTAAGGGAGTTTCAGTCAAGCACACACCACCTTTGTACGAATAATTGATCCTCTATTCACGTCTTTGAAAATACTTTCAATTATGTTGCACCTGAATAGTAAGATAACCATAGCAACCATACTATTTCGATATCGATCCAGGAATCGAAGACGTCACCTTAGAATATCAACAGGTGTTTCAGCAACTAGTTGCTTACGCGCAGGATATAATATCAAACAGGCACCTAAACACAACTCTTCCTCCCTTTGAAGAATAATGCGATAACAGAAACAGGACTTAAATCGAAATATGCCTTCGTAGAATTCTTCCCCATTCTTCCATCCACATTATGATATTCTATGGCAAATCTGTGACTACGTTTACGGCGGCCCGAAGCCATTCTACTATCGCTCCTCCATCTGTTGCTATTTTTAAGAGAAGGTTTATTCATTTTACCCTCCTTGTCTAAAGCTTGTTAAAGACCTATGTGACACGACTGTGAATGCAGAATTATACCTAAAAACGCTGCTAATGGCTGCCCTCAGAGACTACTTCAGCTATACAGGATTGGTCTATGCAAATCTCATGCACTTAACAGTCATCGGGTTTTTTCCCAGCATTACATATTTATATACGCTGCGTAACAATCTTGCACTCAAACTGACGCTAATATCGCTGTTTTTAACACAAAGACGGTTGCATTACACAATAAAGCTGATATCATCACTTAGTTTAAACATTAGTATCAACAACAACAAAAACCCCTCGAGGTCCAACAGGCATTTAAATTTCCTCGACCCCCGGCAAAGTTAGTGTATTCAAAATCTATAAATATGTATTTCTATTATTTGTGAGCCCAAGGCAAGGTGAATGAAATTATCTATATCCATGTTGGCATTGTTTGGTTGAATTGACTACTCTGAAGCCTTTTCTCATACAGATAAACTATCACTTGATTAAGCAAACATCACGTAAATGAATAATTGGATTCGTCTGATGACTTCAACTATGAATATCAAGAAAACTAAAATCCCGGCGTATTTTATCATTTATATTCTTTATAAAATAAAAAGATTGTTTTTTTAGTATGCATTCCATTCTCATCTGAACGAGATTGCATCGCTAATTGCAGCAAAGAATAATGATAAGCTAGGCATCAGTCTCTTTCTAAGGTTTAGCAACCATACTTTGCCTTATGAAGAAGGTGATTTTATGGTAAGAAGTCCAACTGTCTCTCAAAGACTAAATTATGTATAAGCTATATGTATTATATATGTATTATGTATTATGTATGCTGAGTATAAGCATTATTAATTATAATGCACCACTTCCCTTAAAATAACTGATACGCTTGTGACCTATCCCATTTGAAGCTTTGGATTTTTAACAACAACCCACAGTTGTTATTATTAAAATCGTCATGATCATCACACTCATTATCATTACCATCATGATGATCATCATCGTAATCAAATAGGGCGTATCATAATCACCACTACCATCAACGTCATTATGTTGATCATCGTCATCCTCATCAATATCATCTTCATTATCATTAGGTTATCATTTTCATCATTATAGGATAGCCAAAGTGCATCTAATAATTTGCAGGTTTCTCGAAGTTACTAAATTATGATTATTAAGATTATTATGATTATTATTATTATTATTATTATTATTATTAAAATATTATTAGGCATATTAATATTATCATAATCCTTTTAGGGGATTATTGTTATACAATATTATTTTCAATATATTATTATATATTAAAACATGAAACAATAGAGCACTTGGTGATGCACCATCGACCAAAGCACACAATTATCATTATACAGTTTGCCCTCCAATTTGAGACCTGAAAATTTGGGGTGGTCTCAGGGTTTGGTCTCTGCAGAGTTACCGCTTAGTGTTAATAGATTACAAGATGCTGCTGTATTTTATTCTTTGAAAAGGTGGTCTCAAATTAAAGGGGTCTCAGAATTAGATGGGTCACTGTAATTATTACTGTACTATTATTATTGATGTATATGTCTATTATATTATATAATCAATAGCTTTATCCTTTGTCATTCATCCTCCCATTAGCTATTGTTCACTGGCAAGTGATTGTTAATCGATTTAATTAATAAATTGATTGTTATAGCTGTGCCGTGTCTTGTTTCATGTTAACAATAATCAGTCCAAGAGAGATATTTATAAACGAATGTTGAACCCTCTGTGAACCATAATGTTTCAGTTGTATGGGTCATTTGTTATATTTTCGTAGCTTTGTGAATTTGTGTTGTACAGTAGTAAAATACATCATGCAAATTAAAAAAAACACATAATCTTTAGACTACTACCGCTACATTTAGCAGGTACAATCATAGAGTTCTATTTTCTCTATGGTACAACTTCCAGTATTTGCTGTAATCTTGTCACGAGAGAGTAGAGTTTACAATGGCCGACATTGCTAATTGCTGTTACCAGTACAGTTGTAACGTCCCTGAACTTTTAAGTCATAGGTTTGAACAAAAACAATGACTAAAGAAAATGCTGCTTAATTTTTTTTTTTTCTGAATTGTACATTATCTCATCTGTCTACTTGTAGCATGGATAATTATCCTGGACAATGATATATTACGACTGTACATGTAGGCCTACAGTGTGCGAGTCGCATTATCAATAATGCTGTTCATTTTCAAAGTAGAGCACAAACACTTTCAAACTTTGCCTATGGTTTTATATTATTATTATTATTATTATTATTATTATTATTATAGGCCTAATTTTAGTATTTTTGAAATTCATTTTTAATCAAATTTCCTTCTACAAAACGATATTTAAAAAAAAAAAGTTATTTTACTTGTCCTAATCTACCCTAATAAATTAAATATTCCACATCAAAGAAATTGGAAAAGCACTGGCTGACAAATTATGTTAAAAATCTTTAATCTTGTGTATACTTATGGTTATATAACTAACTACAAATTATTAATTTTTTCTGTTTGTTATATTTTTATATATATCTTGATGATTTTTGTATTTCGAATAACTAAATACAAAAAACCAAATATCTATTTAAAATGTATTTGTGTGTGTGTTCCATTTTGTCTTTTGTGGTATGAGTATGGTCTTGTAACGTCGTATTATATTTCATGGGGGGTTTTTTTCGAGCTATTTACAAGCGCTTTTTGGGGTCTTTCTCCTTTTCATTAAAAATATGTTATATAGGCCTAAAATTACCATTTTGTATTACTGTATAAAAGGGTAAAACGTAAGAGAAACAAAGGTTACCATTGATTGATTGATTGATTGATTGATTGATTGATTGATTGATTGATTGATTGATTGATTGATTGATTTGGTTGGTTGGTTGGTTGGTTGGTTGGTAGGTGGGTCGGTAGGTCGATCGATCGATTGACTGATCGATTGATTGATTGATTGATTGATTGATTTAAGTGGCAATCCTCCACAATACAATATACCAACAAGATGCCATAATAATTTGATTTTATTAATTTCTTTTCGTTTAGTTCGCCTTTTTAAACATAAGGATATAGATATGCAGGCCTAAGTAAAGAGTCTTGGTTTCTCCACAATTGCCAACGGGATAACTCAAAAGTGAAAGAAATCAAAGTGGTTCTGTAAGCCATGCGGGAAACGAAAAACTACTACTGGCACAAAAAATAACTTTGAATTTTATCACTATAAAATCAAAATCAGATTCATGAAAAACTATAATGATAATAATACTCAATCGGGTATAACACTGTATCACAAATTTTCCTTTTTTTTACTAACCCCAACTAACAAGGATTCTGGCAAGTTTTAATACTAATCATGCTTGATATAGTGTGTAATGCACTGCACAGTGTCCGAATTAATGCCCAGCGTTCTGAATAGAAATGTTTACATTAAGAACAAAGGCGCACAAGGGATGTTTTATAGCGAATGACAGCGCTTGCTAATGTGCCTAGTTTGACTAATTACAGTAAGTAAATCAAAACAACGACAGAAATTCATATTTGTCATCCATGGTTCCATGACAACCAGTTTATGTTTATTGCATGATGGGAATGAACGCGTTCATTGGTATTGCCAACAGGTGGCGAGGAAATATTTGCTGGGAAGACGGCGAATCATTTACCGGGTCGTCAAGGTACACTTGAGTGCTTCTTTGTATTTCCTTCCATCAATGAATAATTTAATTGTTTGCTTAATTTCGAGCAAAAGATTTATTTGCGCGGGAACTATCGGTTGTAGTGCATAATCGTGAAGATTTTATTAATGGTTTGCATCGGCGGTACAGTTGAAAGTTTACTCCAAATCGCATTTAATATATATTATTTTTTCTCTCTGAATTGTAATAACAATCATTCTGAGAATAGCTACAGCGCCATCGAACATTTGCAGTGCATTTTTACAATTTAAATTAGGCCCTAAACATGATTTGGAGCTAGGTACTATCAGTATAGACTATTGATCGATTGATGATTGATTAGTTGGTTGGTCTGTTAGTTGGTTAATTGATCAATCAATCAATCGATAGACAGATGGATTGATGGACTGATTTTCATTATTATGATTGATTGATTGATTGATTTATCATATCATTTATTTCGCCAATACCATACAAAGAAGTACAAAACACATTAGACTAAAGACTGTTGCTTGGCAGGATTGCCCAAAAGTAACTGTCGAGGGCTATTCTGGTAAAGCTCAACGAATAATTTAGTGATTAACTGACTGAGTAATTGATAATGTAGGCATAGGCCTATTAACGTTATATTTTAATATAATCCAGTTGCACTCATGAATTTAAAATGATGTATTACTGTGTATTGTTTACAAAAGTAAAAATTGGAAAATAAATGTAATAAATATAACATCAAGTTCTTATTTGGGAACTGTTAGGCCTATTATTATTCATCTTGTCTATATTGTTTCCAGTGCTACGCAGCAAACCTAATCTTTCTCTGTCATTGGCTGTAGATATCCATCTTGGAGTGTTTGCCTTTAGGTCATCCATCCATCTTCTCTTTGGTCGTTTCCCTTCCCTTTTTCCTTCTCTTGGATCATCCTGTGATTCAGCGTCCATTTAATGTTTGCAACCTTGCCAAATGACCAGCCCACTTCCACTTTTTTTTTTGCAATGCAGGTAGGTATACCATTTATTACTGTTCTTTCTCTTATGACCTTGCAAGGTATTCTGTCTTAAACTGTGACTTTTGAAACGAACCCATGACCTTATGCTGTTTATGCAGACGCCTTTACCAACTGGGCCATTCAGACTTTCATTGATGGTCCGAATCCGACTGGAGACAATGTTATGATACACCTTAAAGGTTTATATCAATACATATTAATGCCAAAGAAAGTCACAAATGGTTTGGTATGATATGAACATAGATGTGTCAATTCAGTCCGAATGTTGATGCTCCTTGAATTATGTGTACTCGTTTGCCCACAGCAATAAATGCTCCATACCGCCTACCAACTTCGTAATCCAATCAAATTAGTCTATGATGATCACGCATGCGTTCTCATAGCACTTCATTAATCCAATTGAAGTAAATTACAGTGAATGGGACACAAGCGAGTCGCGTGGCGGAGCTCTGACAAACAATAGTAGACCAATGCTGATATTGACTCCATTGTTTGTCAAGATCGTATATAAAAGACGTCAAACTACGTATCTGAGACACAAGAGAAAAGAGAGAAGGTAGGATAACATATCGGCAAGAGTGAACCGATCGAATCATCACTGAATACCACCAAGGCACTAACGCTTTCTGCATAATTGTTTATCGCGCAATCAAATCTCTCGCCGCTATAAACAGAGTGAGCAAATTCAATTTCAACTGAGTGTTTTGAACGTTCTGATGGGCCAAAAAAAACCATCGCTTAAATTGCATTCATTAATTTGACTCGCCTCTCACGAGGCTTATTGATGGATTACCGCATCTTGAGTTAGTTGATTACCGGACCTGTAGAGAGCGATCAAGCACCAGTTGCTACCAAATAAAACAAGCGCACACTCGTGAAACGAAACACTTTCTACCAATTTTCATTTGGATAAAACTAAAACAAAAAAGTATAATGCCGCGCTCATTCCTTGTGCGTCGGACGACAGATGATACGCGGGTTATGATCCGCGAAACATCGGTACCAGAATGGACTGTAGTTCCAGAACTTCCGGTCAGCATACACTTAACAGACGGTAAGATTTACAATTTTAAATTTTACTGAATGTTGTAAAGTGTTATAGTTGTATTATAATTTATAGCTTAGTTAAATATATATAGATATAGGTATACATAAATAGAAACAATTAAAATAATAATTTAAATTACTGTGTCGAAATGCGAAAATTAAGTAAGAAAACTACGGTATATATAGACGGTATACGGTACAGAAAGAGACTTAAATTAATAAAGTAATCAATATAATAATCATTGCTGCTAGTATTATTATTTTTCAGACATATTTCGAGTTAATTTGGAAAATTGCAATCGTATATTACACTATAGTTTATCGAGGCTTAAGTGCAAAACCATAAACACTAAGTTAATCAAGATTTTCGATAATAATATATATTTTCAAACCAATTTTTATTAAACGTCTTAAGTTCAGTAAATAAAATAGAACTATAGGTAAAATGTTGCGCGAGTCGAATTGCACTAGCTGCATGGCAGTTCATCAAGGAGTACAATATAAAATGATTAAGCGCATCCGCTTCATTGACGCACGTTATGAAATGCCTATATACAATATATATATATATATATGTATCATCTGTGTTATGTATCAGTTGTGTTCCATGTGTGTTGAGTGTGTGTGAATATATTAAAAAAATGGAACAACATGATAAATATATATAAAAATAGATTTTGAATGTTGTATACCTGTCTCTTATACACATATGTGTATAAGAGACAGTATATATAATGTATATGATGTGTGTGTTCATAAGCCTAAACAAAAATATAATGAGCACATTGTTTGCATATAATGGGTTTTATAAGTCTATCGTGACAATAAGTTTATATTTTTTTTGTTGTTCAGCATATTTACACACAGTATTCAAATACTCAAAGACAAGCAATACAAAGCGATTTTCTTTTTGATCTTTAATACTAATATTAACATTATATTTCTAGAAAATGATGGTGTTCCAAAATAATCGATTTTCAATGTTCTTTACCCTTCGTGTCCATGCAAATTTAATGTATAACAAAATTAATACATAACTACGAAAATTGATATGTACACAGGAATAAAATAGTGGATAATTTAAGTGTAACTCTAACTGCCTTTGTGCTACCTTACACTGGTCTTATATACTCAGTTGAGGGTTCTGGTTGCTTAGCATTCTCAAATAATGTGACATAATTTGAGCAACATATTAAATTATATCACAAATTAT